ATAAGGACATGATGGAACATCGTAGGCTACCCTGTAGATTTTCAATAAATAAAGTCCTATGAAAAATCATTGTGCAATAAAATGCCTCCGATGGGATTCGAACCTGCAACCTCTCGCTGACAAGGCAGCGTCATAACCACTAGACCACGAAGGCTTCATGTTTGAATAGGTCCAAATACCCGTCGGGAACATTGTATTACCTATAAATAATAGATTAAATCTATCATATATTTACTCACCTCTTTCATTCAGCCGCCTAAGGGCAGATTCATATTCTTCACTATCAACTACTGTCTTCCATTCCTTAACAAAATCCTCCTGAAGATTGACTGGGATTATCAATTTTGCTAAATCATTGATTAATTCTCCGCTTGAATGTATTTCCCATAAATTCATCAATGCATAGGGATCATAAATAGAAAGATGAAATACTATAGATCCCTTTGATATATCATCTATGTACAACTTCATGTTTTTGAGATACATATAAATACTTTTCAACTTTGTGGAAAATTCTGGAATGTCACCTAATGGCAAACTTCCAATATTTCTTAAGAGATCATCAATCATATCAAGGTGTGGTTTTTGTCCTGGTTCATCTATTCTCCAACGTTTTAATTCTAAAGGTAAAGCTGTGAATAGAAAAGAAAATTATGTTTAATATCATATACAGCAGCTCAACATCAAAAGTTGGCTCATCTTTCACAGTCCGAGTTTTGGAGTGATAGACCTGGAGATACAGGCTGAGCATTAAACTCTGAACAGCTACCCACAAAAGGCCCGAAACTTGCTTGCAAAGTCAAGGTATTGGTATTTCATACCCACGATAGACTGTCAATTTTCTCCAATATAAATCCTATATTTAAAATTTCCATACACTAAACATGCATCATAAATTAACATGCCTGCTTTTAAAAACCACCTTTTTAAACACGTTTTTGGTCACAAACATGCATCACTCAGGTCTAACTGAATGACCCTCCCAGCATTTCACACATTAAAATCTAACCCTTACAGATGCTCTGGTTTTTTTTTTTTTTTTATAAATGCCATTTCTTATTCTCATTGTAAACCAGAGCCCTACAGGCATCAACATTCCTATGCATGATGCATGTTTTATTTTCAGGCAATATGAGGTTGGGTGGATTTTGTGTTGTGGTGGTTTACCTTGAAAAGTTAATTTTTGCATTTGAGTATTGGGAAAATGAATACTATATTTACACATTAGGTATAGGCCTAAATAAACGCTTAGCTATCTCCCCGCCGCCCCTGGCAGGAGGTGCTATTATACACGCCTCCAGCAGCATGCAGCAGCCTAGCCTGTTGTCTCATCTCGCAGGTGAAAAGTCGTCCCGATTGACCTTATGACATTATTTTTAATCTTATCAAGCAACTGGGGGCGCTAATAAAAAGCAAAAACCCGAAAGAAGTTGACTGAACCACTACTGAGGAATTTTACGTCGCGAGGTAAAAACAAAATGTCGGAAAACTTTTTCTGATGCATGTGCAATTTCACTCTTAATGTCCACATACACACATACACACACACATGCAAAATGTGGTTGCAAGAGTCCCTATTGCATTGTATGCTTAGGAACTAAAAAGATATATTTGAAACTATGAACATTGAATTAGCTAAGGATTCAGATTGGTTTAAGTTAAACAAGTTATTATACATTGATCAAAATACAATTACTTGAGTTAATAATAGTGAAACCATTTTTAACTAAAC